TTTGTTGGTTGGCAAGAACCTAGATAATTTGTAAAAAGAAAAAAAAAATAGACGTAATATTACAAAAATAGTTTTAAACCAGCGTGAACATTTAAAACATTTCAACTATTTAAAGAAACATTTTGATTTGGACAATTGTCTTTCATGTACAACTTTCTTACGAAAACGTTATAAAATGACTTTGGTCATCACAATATTATATTATAATTTCAATAAAAAATCGTACCTAGCTAGTAGGCTATAATAGCCGTAATCGCTGTTATATTTAAAACTATGATTTTCTACGTTTTCCGAAACTGACGTTATTATACCACGTCATCAACCACCCACATCATATATGCCGTTCGCATTTGCTTACGCAGGCTCCGTCATCACTTGTGACGGCTTTTACTTTATATTTTTTTTTCTTGACGTCGACTATTTCTTTTTATTTATAACTAAAAATAATAATTAATTATCTTATAAACGTAAATAACAGATGCAATACAAATAAATATAAATCTGCAACCTATGAAAACACATAAATACATAGTTTAAACTTTATCTTTTAGTTACTGTAGTTTATCTATATATATATATGTTGACATTTTCTTTTAGTTATTGTAGTTTATCTAAAAAAACGCGAAACAATAAATGTTTAGTAATACTATAGGTGATTCTTCCATAAACATTTTGGAAGAAAAGTTGTGGAGTAGAGCAAATGCAAGATAAAATATCGAATCAAGGGAACATGAGAAGTCACCAGTCAAAAATATTGATCACCAAAATCGATAGAATGTTGTTTGGATGGTTCATGGCAAATAACGGATTCGTTAAGCGGACAATGGGTAGTTGGCCTTCAATAGAGGACAAATCATGCATCTCGGCCTAAAACGAGTTCGAAAAGTTTGAACTTTCATCATGCGTAGATGGATTCGCTTCTCTAGTTTGTAAAAAGTTTTGACTACTTAAAATTCGCTTCGCGGCTCATTGCTTGGGTTTAATTCAGATGGCATCTAATCTTTTTTGTTGGTCTATATTCACACCAGAATTTGAAAACTGAAAAGATCTTAAACTTTTGTTCTAATCTTTTAATATCTTACATAGTATTTTGTAACAATGTCTCTGATTCTATGCTAATTAATTTGGAGAAAAAAAAATTCATATAAATTAATTTGAATTCAGGTTTAGAATAAAATAGTTATAGACAAAAAGGAAAACCAAAACTATATTAGCAAAACACTGAAACAAAAGCTTAAGATCTTCGAGTGTTTTGCATCGCAAAAACAATAGTAAAAAGATGGAAAATTAAAGTATTTGCCAATTTGGGGTCGTCATACGCGGAACCTTTTGGGGCAACAGACACGGATTTTCCACTTCTTTGTTTTCTGTTTGTCAACTTTCATTTTAAGTCTTTCTTTATCCATTTTTAGACCATGTTTTCTTAATCAGTCCATTATTAAAATTGAATATTTTCGTTAATCTCTTTTTGTTTTCCTATCATCATCTTCACATGAAGCTGTCTTTTTCTTTCACCATCACTTCACCTCTTCTGTCTTGTTTGTTCTCAAACTCCATCCTTTAAATATACTACTATTTTCTTTCTTGACTTTTCCTCGGATTCTCTCTTTCCTTCATTTTCTTTGATTAATCTCAATTTTGTTCTTTCCTCTCTCTCTTTGATCTTATCTTCGACTTAATTTCACGGCTGTGCAAAATCTCAAATCAAATCTTGATTCTTCAATCTTGTTTCAGATACTTTTAGGGTTCTTATTATACCAATTTTGTTTGAATCTTTCCCTTTTTGTTTTAACTTTGTTTTGAGTGCATTCATAGAGTAATGTTCTGTCTGAAAAATTGAAACTTTTCTTCAACTTTGTCTGTTTCAAATTCACAAGTTTACCTTTTTTTTTTTTGTTCCCCTTTTTGTTTCTGGGTTTCATCGAATATGTGATGTGTTTCCATTATTGTTGAATTAGGGTTTGATTGATTCCCTATTATTAGAAATGAAAAACTTGACGGGTTTGGAATCTTGATCTCCATGGATTTAAAACAGAGCTTTTGAGTGATAATTTCTGCAGAAAAATGGCTACTTTAACTGAGCCATCATCATCTATAAGTTTCACATCTTCTCAGTTATCTAATGGCTCTATTGGGTCTAATCATTTCTCAACAAACTCAGCTTCTATTCTCGAAGTTGTTAGTCTAAGCAAGCTTAGCTCCAATCTTGAGCAGCTACTCAGTAATCCAGATTGTGATTACAGTGATGCAGAGATCATTGTCGATGGTGTTTCAGTTGGTGTTCATAGATGCATTTTAGCTGCTAGAAGTAAGTTTTTCCAGGAATTGTTCAAGAAAGAGAAGAAGAATTCGAAAACCGAGAAACCAAAGTACCATTTGAAAAAGATGTTGCCTTATGGAGTTGTTGGTTATGAAGCTTTTTGTTATTTCTTGAGTTATATCTACACTGGTAGATTAAAGCCATTTCCTTTGGAGGTTTCGACTTGTGTTGATTCGGTTTGTGCTCATGATTCTTGTCGACCCGCCATTGATTTTGTTGTTGAATTGATGTATGCTTCATCTGTTCTCCAAATGCCTGAGCTAGTTTCATCTTTTCAGGTCTGAAAAATGAAAACTTGTTTCTTTCTCTTTGTTTGCTTGATTCATAGACCTTCATTGAGAGATTAAATGGTTTTGTGTGTTTGTAGCGGCGGCTTTGTAACTTTGTGGAGAAGTCTTTGGTTGAGAATGTTATTCCAATTCTTTTGGTTGCTTTCAATTGTAAGTTGACTCAGCTGCTTGATCAGTGTATCGAAAGAGTGGCAAGGTCAGATCTTGACAAGTTCTGTATCGAAAAGGAGGTTCCTTTCGAATTATCGGAGAAAATTAAACAGCTTCGACTTAAGTCTCCGCAAGACGAAGAAAACAATCCCAAGGTATCTGATAAATTGCTCGAGAGAATTGGGAAAATTCTCAAGGCGTTGGATTCAGATGATGTTGAGCTTGTGAAGCTTCTTTTGACTGAGTCAGATATCACTCTAGATCAAGCCAATGGTCTGCATTATTCTGTGGCATATAGCGATCCGAAAGTTGTTGCTGAGATTCTTGCTCTGGATATGGGTGATGTGAATTTCAGGAATTCCCGGGGTTACACGGTTCTTCATTTTGCTGCGATGCGGAAGGAGCCATCGATCATCATATCTCTTCTCCGAAAAGGCGCCAATGTGTCTGATTTCACATGTGATGGACGCAGTGCGGCTAATATATGCAGAAGACTGACAACTCCAAAGGATTATCATACCAAAACAGCCAAAGGGCGTGAATCGACTAATTCCCGAATATGCATTGACCTCTTGGAAAGAGAGATCATGAGGAACCCGATGGTTGCGGATACACCAATGTGTTCCCCTTATATGCCTGAAGATCTTCAAATGAGACTGCTGTACCTAGAAAAGAGAGGTAATTAACCGATAGTTGATCCAATTCTTCTGTATCTAAATGACATTTTTGTTAAAACGTCAAACTTTTTTGCAGTTGGTCTTGCTCAGCTTTTCTTTCCAACGGAAGCTAAAGTGGCTATGGACATTGCTAATGTAGAAGGTACAAGCGAGTTCACGGGTCTTCCACCGCCTTCTAATGGGTTAACTGGAAACTTGAGTGAGGTTGATTTAAATGAAACTCCTCAAATGCAAACCAAAAGACTTCTTCTTCGTATGGAAGCTCTAATGAAAACAGGTAAAAAGCTGTGCTCTTTGTGAGTTAC